CTATAATTACTCACTTTAGCATTGGATGCTATAACAGGATCTATGTCCATTACCGGTTGTCTTATTGCTGTCAGCCCGATTCTTTAGTTGGAAACCTGAGAATAAACCAGAGTGGATCAAAAGTATAAAAAATAACATTTATTGGACATAGTTAAGTGTATCAGCTGGGCTCTGACAGACAAAAACCTCTCTCTGGGTCTCAGTGGGCAAAGAGCCCTGAGATCTGGGTGATGGGCATTATCTCCTGGGCTCCATCCGCCTCCTCAAAGGAGGACTGGACACAACCAAGTCCTATTGGCCAGTTACCTCTGGGCACGAACAGGCCAGGTCCTAATTCATGCAGATGACAGGAATGTGGTAACAAATGGTGTGTGTGTTTGTGTTGACCTAAAGGTGGATCTAATGCAACAGAAAAAGAAAAAGAGAGAAAAGAGAGTCTGTGGACACAGCCAGATAAAAAGCCGGGATGGTGTTCAGTGCATCGTGTTTGTAAAGGAGTAAACATCAGATAAACAGTGACTTCACAGACACAATAAACTCGGTTATTTTCTGTCTGGCCTCGGAGCACATTTACACCGATATGAAGGTGGGACTGTTTCCTGTTGATGACCCATCTTCTTTAAACTACCTTGAAAATGAGATCATTTTAATTGTTTTGTGATCACAGTTAAAGTGAAGTACAAAGATCAAATGTTTGTGATTTGACCCTCTTTACAAATGGAAAAAATAAAAGCCTGTCCAAAATTGGGTTCAAAACGTATTCAACTTTGACCTGTGTTTTGATCGACAGATAACTGTAGAACAGAAATGAGAGTTTGGACTGTACAGCATTTATGGGAGGGAAAATGTAACAGCAGCTTCTGTGACCTTTGAACACTCAACTCTGACAATAAAAAAAAAACAGTGGATAAATTACAAGGTGTGAGAGGTCTTATCAGGAGAATTGTTGAGTCGTCTTCCTGGATAAAAAATTAATAATTAATCAAAAGATATCTGAGAAAATTGCTCTTGTGCAAAGTTATTTGAGTTGTCATGTGTGTTCACAGACTTTCAGAGATCCTGTATCTCTGAGCTGGAGCCACGGCTCAGAGAAACTTTCTTTTTCCTGCAGACGTGTCCAGCTGGAAAACAATATATATGACAATCCTGATATCAGTCCTGTGTCTTTATCATGAGAATAAAGGCTGTCCATTTCTGTCCGTATGATTAAAGGTTTTTACTCCTTTCACCTTCTCCTTCATTTTGGTCGTACTCTGCCCCAAAGATGTTTCCTCTTATCTCAAACTCTCTGACCTAACATAAATTCCTCCTACACTCCTCCCACAGTCAGATAGAGACGCAGCCAACAACCAGGTACAGGTAATTCATTTATCTGAGCGCCTCCCCTTATGCAGGAAATAAACTCAAAGGTTCACAATCTCTGTCCTTGAAGCAGAAAGTACTCGGCAGAAGTGCGATCAAAAGACGGTAAAGGCGAACCGTAAGTCGATACGAGCATATTTTCACTGTTTACTCTTTTTGTTTTTTTAATCAAAGTCAGTAAAAATGGCTGAGAAAATTGCAGTTGTGGAAAATTTGCTGAGCTGCTATCTGTGTTCAGAGACTTTCAGAGATCCAGTGTCTCTGAGCTGCAGCCACAGCTTCTGTTCAAGCTGCCTGCAGAAGTTCTGGGAACAAACTAAGAACAAGAACTGTCCTGTTTGTAAAAGAAGATCCTCAAAGGATGATCCATCCGTAAATCTCTCTCTAAAGGAACTAGCAGACGAGTTGAAAATGAGTCCGAGTGAGACTCCATCTGTGATGGAAACAGAAAGGAAGAAGAAGAGAGACGAGGTGCTGTGTGACAAAC